CATTTTATTTTCAAGACAGTATCTCCCAAATACACAAGACTGCATAATTATAATTTGTTGTTTGTTCTTTCATATGAAAATGGTGATTTTAGTTATGTTTTTATTGCTGCTATAAGAAATTACTCCTACTCAGTTCCTTAAAAAAAAAAATGATTCGTTATTTTACAGTTCCATAGGTTAGAAATTCAATATGGGTCTCACTGGGCTAAAATCAAGGTGTTGGCAGGCCTGTGTCCTTTGTGGGGGCTCCACAGGTGAATCTGTATTTGGCCTTTTTGGCTTTTAGTGGCTGTCCGTGTGCCTTGGCTCATAGCCCTCCATCTCCAAAGCCAACAGTGTTGCATCCCTCTGACTCCGCCTCACCTCCATTGTCTTTTTCTGATTATCATTTTCTGCCTTCCTCTTCCACTTTTAAGGACCTTTCAGTCATTGGGCCCATCTGGATAATCTAGGCTACTCTCCCCTTATGCTAATTAGCAATCTTAAATCCACCTGTAATCTGAGTTCCCCTTTACCATTAACATTACATATTCACAGGATCAAGGGATTAGGAAGTAGGTGGGTTAAGGGGAAAATTATTCTGCCTAGCAGTCTTATATGAAGGAGACACAGAGTTCATCTTCCAGCTCAGTTGAACAAGTGCTTCTGCTTTTGAGATACCATAAGGTACTTCAGTAGGCAAAAGATGCTTTAAATACACGCTTCATTTCATCACATGGAATATTAAAAAGCATGTACTCATTGTCTACATTTAATACAAGTTAATATTTGACTGCTTTATCAAGGACATTTTTAACTGGATTTTTATTTGGGGAAGGAGTGACTGTATAGCAGAGAAAAAGAACATAAGGAGTGCTGTTATAGTTTGGGGCCACTGTTTGATCCATGCTAAGATGCCGGCAATTTGACATATGCACCTGAGTGCATATGTCCGTGGAAAATACCAGATTGACTCTAATGGTGTTATAAAGAAAGTTTTGATGTCATGATTCATCACTCCCCACAAGAAGATTCTCAGAGATGTTCAGAAGTTCACAGTCTACACTTCAAGAACTGTTGCACAATGAAATAACTCATAGTGACTATTTTAAATTTCTAAATTTAATTAGACAATAGTAGAGGTTTCATAAGAATGTTAGAATTGGGTTATTCTCATGGTTTGTGCACCCCAGTGGCCTTCCTCTGGCCATGATACCAGGGAAGATGGGGTAAAATGCAAAACTTCCTAACACGGCTCTGAGAATTGGTTATTCACATCTCTTTCTTCTAGTACAGGGCTGTGACTATTGTGCATCTTTCCAGAAAGTTATGCCTGTTTAAGTCAGATTGCAGTGTCTGTGTCTTAACTCTAGAGAGGAAGAGCAAATTTATCTACTGTTGGTTCCCAGCTGTAGAAGCTCACATTACTTTTAGTAGGTGTTGCAAGACCCCTTTGCTTTGTTGAGATTCAAGACCTTCATCTCAAATATAGCCTTTGTCCTGTTGGACTGACCACCATCACTTTTGTAGGCACAAACATCTATTGAGTGCCCAACACATCCCTCAGTGCTCCATATGAACAGCTGATCTGCAGACATGAATTACAGCAGCATTCCTAAATGACCCAGAGGTTATCCAAAGCAGAATGCTAAACTGTGGATAAACCTAGCCTGTTCCAGGAGGGCTTCTGGTGTCATCGTAACTCTATTTTGATCATTACCTTAAAGCATTGTATATACAGATACATAAGACCATATAGGTATGTTTGTGTGTTTCTCAAACAATAAATACCGTTTTATATAACCACAAAACAATCCAAAATCCCCACATCATGGCTTTACCTCCATGTACATTTGCTTCCTTTAGAATATTCCTGATTACATTTACTTAACTTCGTGTCAACATGTCATTCTGTCTGGGAGCATGGCTGCTAATTAAGGATTCTGAGTTCAGAGAATGCCACCTACCTTTTATCTAATTGGAGTAGAAATCAAGATGCAGTCATATTGTCACCTTTGAGGATACAGCAAGTGACATTTGGTAGTTTCAAACCAGAGGAAATTGGACTTTCAAAGGCATTTCCTAATCCTCTTAAAGGATCATTCCTTTTACAACTGGGGAAACCAGTTTGTTCTGTCTGCAGATGGAGCTCACTAGGGTATGAGAATTCAATCAGAAGAGGCACATTGTCATGTCCTTGAATTCTGCTTGTCCACTACTTTGGGGGAAGTTCTTATCTTCTTTCTGCAGGAAACTTTTTTTTTTTTAAATAAATGAATCCTTTTGAGTATTGCACAATGAGACCTTAGGCCTCTATCTTAGAATTTTTAAGTAGGCACCTACAAATTCAGTGTGACTGTAATGCTTTCCATTAGTCAGGATGACTTTTGTTTTACATTGTTGCGAGCGAAGTCTGTCCTGGGAGGCATAGCCAGACAACATGTAACTTAAAGCCCCTTCGTCTCTACAGATTGCTTGATCTCTTTGTTCTGCCTGGAAGGAGAGGCAGGTAATGTTCAGCCCTGGGATCTGGCTGTATTAAGGACTTCCTTTGTAATAGACATCGAGACTATCTCTCTCTTTTTATTTGTTGAGATCTAATAGGATACTTAGCTCAATTCTAAAGCCAAGATGAAACCTTCATCTGTGGGAGCATTCCCCTTAAGCATTAGCCACATTCAGCCATTGGAAGCAGGCCAGCTGAGAAAGGGGTTAAATGTCAGTAGTGGGCGGAAGTTTTACCCTATTTTTTTTTTCTTATGTGTGCAATACAAAAATGAACTAAGTCCCAAATGTTTCTGTTAATAATTGAGGTAGCAATAGGTCAGGTTTTATGCTATTTTTAAAATATTCCAGTATCAGTATATCCAGTTATTTGCAAGTTTCCGACTTGGAACCTTACTTTCCTCGAACCAGTGCAGGTAAAATAGAGTCAGGCCGATAGGATTATGGAACTCCAGGAACTCTTTTGTCCATGCACAATGCAAAGGCTGCTGAGCTTTCTTGTCGGCTAAACAGGGTGCAGGGGAGGGGGACAAAGCAAGCAAGGGTTTTTTGTGGTTTTTTTCCCTCAATGACATTTTCTGTTATCGCTGTCTGAACCATTTGGCTTGGAAAGTTGAAAATGGTAGTTCAAGTTCATAGACCTTTAATAAAAAATGGCAGGGCTAGCTATGTTTCAGGATTCAGGAATTTTCAGATTTTAGAGGGGTAATAAAAATGCATGACCCATGTAGTAATATTCCCAGTGAGATCTGGGGCAGCACCCCACAATCAGTTATTCAGGGAGAGTGTGAATATTCACACAAATATGAATAAATTAAAAGTACTAATGTCAGGCCCATATCAAGTTTAGCTGTGAAATGTGTTTGCTTAAATTTGGTTTCTACCTTTCAACTTCAGAATTGCAAATAAGAAGTTGTAGACATGTGTTACAATGGTAGAAATAGAGCAAGACAAACCTGGTTGAGTTCTGGTGATATTTAATGGAGCTGAGTCACTGGAACTGACAGTTTGTAATCTTGTGTCACTCCCTGCAGGACTAGTTACTCCCTCTTCCATTCTCCAGTCTCTTTGCTCATCTGTCAAACAGGTGTAGTATTTGCCTTGTGGGCCATTATGAGGGTAAGAATTTAGTGTAGGTTAAACACTGCACATAGTATTTGGCACATAGTAGGTATTCAGTAAATGTTAGCTATTAAAATTTCACCCCTTACCTTCCTTTTATTAGACAAAACCTTACTGATGTGGTGGTTGCAGTGCCACTCTGGTAATAGGATTAAGTGGTAAGAATTGTCCTGATGCCATTGGAGAATTCAAAGTCTACTTTTTCTTTTCTTTTCTTTTCCTTTTTCTTTCTTTTCTTTCTTTTTTTTCTTTTTTTTTTTTTTTTTTTTTTTTTGAGACAGTTTTGCTCTGTTGCCCAGGCTGCTGGAGTGTGTGGCACAATCATGGCTCACTGCAGCATCGATCTCCCGGGCTCAAATGATCCTCCCACCTCAACCTCCCAAGTAGCTGGGACTACAAGTGTGCATCACCACACCTGGCTAATTTTTGTATTTTTTGTAGAGACAGGGTTTTGCCATATTGCCCAAACTGGTCTTGAACTCTTGGATTCAAGTGATCTGCCCCCCTCAGCCTCCCAAAGTGCTGGGGTTATAGGAGTGAGCCACTGTGCCCAGCCCAAAGTATACATTTTTATGTTGAAAACTCATTGCTTGTTAAATGATCAGTAGTACCACCTTGAAATTTGTTTGCAAAATGACTTTTCAATGATGAATAAATGTTTTGATTAATGTTATATGTAAATCTCTTAATCCTTCATTTTAACTGCATGTGAGGAAGAAATGTTCACCACGAGATGATTTGCCATTATGAAGCCTCTTTTAAAGTTTCTCTGCAGACACTCATCTTTTAGAAAACTATTTGAAAGAGAAGTTTCTCTAAGTATAGTATTGATGGTAGTAGTGCTGTAACAAAGATATAAGCAAGATTTATAATTTAATATATTGGGAAAACAGTATTGGGAGATAGGTCTTTTCTAATTTTACAAAAAAACATATTAGTGAATCTTTTAGTGCAAAACGGTTTATTTTAAAGTATGTTTTATAAAGTAGACCTCTGCTTTTAAATTTATAAAGGCCTCCCTTTTAAAAGGGGGGACACAATAATGAATTGCCTTTAGTTATCAGGATTTTTTAAAAAAATAACTTTATTTTGTACTTTGTAATTGATTAACAGAAATTTCCGATAGTATCAACAGATCTGGCCTAATGATGCATTATCTTTATATGCAGGAAATTTTCATTTATTTTTCTGGCCTTTTCTCAATTCATGAAGTTTATAGATACTTGCTCTACTTTATTTTTTTTTGGATCAAAGACACAAAACACAGAAGGACTTCAAGAGAAGAAAGATGTTAGCTATTTTCTGGGCATATGCCTTATAGGACCTTTTAGCATTTAAGTGGAACAAAGTCGATCTGCCTATATTTATATGCATTGTCTTACCTGCCTTCACAGCTGAACTACCAGCAGAAAGTAGGCATCATGTACTGCAAAGCTGGACAGAGCACTGAAGAAGAGATGTACAACAATGAGTCAGCTGGCCCAGCCTTTGAAGAATTCCTTCAACTATTGGGAGAGCGAGTTCGGCTCAAAGGATTTGAGAAGTATCGCGCACAGCTTGATACCAAAAGTAAGAAATACTTAGACCCTCCTACTAGCTTATTTTCCCCCTGCTGTGCTTTGTACATCTGCTAAATTATCTGTAAAACAACATTGCCATTTATTGCAGAAAAGTGCTGGTGATGGGGGAGAGAAAGCCAGAGAGGAAGGACGTAGCACCAGAACAGTCGAAGATCATAACCAAAGTAGCTAGAATTAGACTGTTAAAAAAAATAATGTTGTCAGAGGTGTGTGGATGGAGGAGGGCAGTGGCACAGATCACGCAGAATTGCTCCTGGATAGCATTACATAAATTTCATTACATCTAGCCAAATGTTAGGGCGATTAAAAACTCCGGAACCTTACAACCATCTAAGTGTAAGCCTAGAATTTTTGATTTCCATTAATTCATTTCATAGTCTTCATGTTCATCTATGTAGTCAGCCTTTGTTTTTGTTTTTTCATATTCTTTTCATATCTAGGGTTTTTGTTTGTTTCTATTATTATTATTCACAGTCTAATCTCTGAGAAAATAGGCTTTTAAGCTCCTTTTAGTTTACCTCATAAAATGTGTTGATTAAAGGCATGATAATGAAACAGTCTGTTTATGGTGCATGAACCTAAAAGTTTGTCTACATCGAGTCCCCAAGTTGTCAATAAAATAGCTAACATTCTCAAATATCTATTTTGATTAGCTGGGACTAACTGAAGAGTGTGTTGACTTTTGCTATGTGTCTGTGTGAAGGCAGTTTTAAATTTTATCTTTAAATTCATCCATAGACACCTGTGATCTGTTTTTCTTTGAGAGGGTCTTTGGATTAGCACATCTGTATTGCAGTCTATAGTAATCTCTCTGATTTTCTGTACAGGAAATTAAATAAGGAGTTGAGTCATGAAAACAGAAAGCATTCATAAACTCCACTGCAGGGAAGAATTTCGTGTTGCCATGGTTTTGCTGTTGCCAACTTGGAAACGACATGCAAGAGAGACTATTAAAACCCATAAATAGCCTAGCCGCTTAAATATTATTTTAACATTCTATACTCTGCTTGCAACTGCATAAAGATGTTAAATTTCAATATCTCCTCAAACTCTTTTTATCCAGGTATTCTGATATTCACCATGTACAGTTCATTCATGTGGCCCCCATTTGTTGTGCTGTATAAATTATCACTACCACAAAAAATTATTGAAGGGATCTGGGAAGAGAATGTGTAATAAGCCCAGTGATACTAGAAATGAACGGTCAGATTGGGAGTTGATAAGATTGTGCATTATCTGTGATGAAGGGTGATGTGAGAAATGTATAGCTGGGGTATCGTTAAGCAATGTGGCATGTAGTAAGGCAGTGGAATACACAAAATAAGCACTTTGTGCACAGTTTGCCCAATTATCCCAACAACTGCAAAGGCTAGAGGGGGATGACCCTGGATTAGCAAACAGCCTCTTACTGTAGTTTTAGAGTCACATAATACATTCAACAGGGAAAGATTCTTTTTCACTGAACTACTGTCCTTTAAGTAGTTCAAATTTATGAGGCATGTATGACCTTTCAGGTCATATTTCCTGAGAAGGAGTCACAGAAAAGCATCCTTTTCTGTCCTTTTAAAATGTCACATTTCCTAAAATGTACAAAAAGTAGGAAAGTATTCCAACTCTGAAGCCCCTAAGAAGACAGTATGCAAAATCATCTCTTTTACCCCAAGCTTATTAATAGGTGCAAAAACTAGAGGAGTCCATTCTAATACATGCCATTTAAACCTGTATTAAATAATAACAGACCACCAAAATAGGCAGCAACCAGCCTCTGTACACCTAAGCCGCCACCTACTTGGCATAACACTACTAGAGATAAGACTTTGTTCCATGTGCTGTGATGTAATCTCACAATACTTAATCTAACTTTATTTTGTGTAAAGAAACTTTGAATATAATTCTTTTTCTAAAAAAGTGCTTTTCAGAACAAATGTTCAAGGATCATTCCCACTGTAGATGTCACTTGAATCTGTGGGTTTGTTGTATTTATCAAATTTAAGTACTTTTTGCTGTTATTTCTTTATTTTTTCTGTCTTACCTCTCTTCTCTCTCAGACTCCAATTACACGTATGTTGTATCACTCAGTAGTGTACCACAGGTTAATGAGACCCTGGTTCTTTCCTGCGCCCCCCCAACTTTTTTTTTTTCTTCTGTCCTTCAGTTTGGATAATTTCTGTTGATAGATCTTCAAGCTCCTTGTGTTTTTCTTTTCATCCATGGTGTCTTAATTCATTGTTAATCCCATACAATGAAATTTCCATTTAAGATACTGTGTTTCAGGGCCGAAAGGTGCATTTGATAATCTTTTTAAAAGTCTTCTATTCTCACCTCACTAGGTTCATGCTGTCCTTCAAATCCCTGAACATATTTATAATAGTTGTTTCAAAATGTTCATCTGCTAATTTCATCGTTTCTCTCATTTTCAGTTTCCTTTTTTAAATGGAGTTCCTCCTACTTTGGGTTACATTTTACTTCCTCACTTGTCTCCTTTTTTTTTGATAAGATACTGGATATTTTAAATGTTTCATTGTCAAGTGTCTTAATGTTGTTACCTTTAAGTGTTGAGCTTTGTTTTGGCAGGCAGTGAAGTTGCAGAACAGCATGATTTTTATGAGTCTTACTTTTTAAGCTTTGTTAAAGTATACCTAGAGTAGCTTTTACTCTGGCTAACTTAGCCGCACTACTAAGACATGACTTTTCTTGCACTTCAATACTTGCATATTCAATTGTATCTACTATGACTGCTCAGAACTCCAGTGTCTCCCAATCCAGTGTGAACTGTAGAATGATTTGGCTCGTAATTCCTTGGTAGTTGGTCTTTCCCTAAAATTTTGTCTTTGCTAGGCTTTTGGAATTTATGCATGTGCAGCTTACTGTCCAACTCAAGACTCAACTTGGGACCCTATATAGATTTCTGAACCTTTCATCTGAGATTTCTTTCTCTTTGGTATTCTGCCTAGCAAATACCAGCCACCTCAGACTTTCTGAACTCTAGTCTGCCTTGGCTTTCCCCTTCAGTGCTCTGCTCTGTGTCACTGTCCCAGAAGTGTCTCAAGGTGGAAAGCTCAGGGATCATAGGGCTCATCTTCTTTATTCCTTTTTCTCAAGTATCACTATCCAATGCTGCCTATTGTCCAGTGTCTGCAAACAGTTGTTTCAGGTATTATATCAATTTTTCTAGTTATTCACAATGCCACGGTGCATGCTATATCAAGCACTTTGTTAGGGCTAGAAGCAGAAGTCCCAGATACTTTTGATATATGTGCCATCTCATTTAATTCCCACAAACCTGCTGAGATACCATTTATTCCCACTTCACAGAATTGGCTTCTTTATATTAAGTAACATGCCCATGATTAGATAGCTAGTAAGCATTAGGGAAGTAGTACAGATCCCAATAGTGTGGGTAATGAAGTGTTTAGAGAAAGCATAAACCTGGAATGAAGCACAGCAAAGCCCCAAGACCGGCCTTTAGCCTGTGTCTTCCTCCCTCTTAAGCCCTTGGGCTAACAGTACCCAAACCAGCTCATGAGATAGCTCTACTTGTCATACATTATGATCATATTGATATCTTAGTACTTGCATAAAGGAGGAGAGGCTCCAGAAAGGGAGTGATGAACTATTGAACTATTTCTTCTTTTTCCCAGTTATCTGTACAAAGACCATCTCCGCATTTCAGAAATAAGGATTTGTGTCAAGCAAGCTGCAAACAAATATGTCACAGACTGAAACAATTCTGCAATGAAGAAATTTTTAGTAGGGGATTTTTCCTTCTTTTTTGTTTACTTATTTGGATGATATAACCTAGGTAATTACCATTCCCTCATACTACTACAGATATAACAATAAACTTCCCAACAAGCAGTTGGTTATTTGAAAACTGGAAACCATCCTCATTTTTAGCTGTTTACGTGGATTTTTTGTGACAGAGGTTTGCTCTTTGTTGTCCAGGCTGGAGTGCAGTGGCATGATTTCGGCTCACTGCAACCACCACCTCCTGGGTTCAAGTGATTCTCCTGTCTCAGCCTCCCAAGTAACTGGGATAACAGACCCCCACCACTACACCCAGCTAATTTTTGTATTTTTGGTAGAGATGGGGCTTCACCGTATTGGCCAGGCTGGTCTCAAACTCCTTACCTCAAGTGATCCACCCACCTCAGCTGCCCAAAGTGCTGAGATTACAGGTGTGAGCCACCAAGCACGGCCACATAGATGATTATGGGAAATTATTTCCTAACTGAGGCTTATTTGGCAAGTTAGTACACAGGAGAGTTAGAAGCCCTTTGTAAAGCTTTCCTTCAAAGCCCTGCCTTCAATAATTTGCTGCAATGTAGTGAATGTTTGTTGTCTCCTCCATTTCTTAGTAGTGTTATAAAATGCAGTTAAGGATCAGGGTCTTAAAAGAGATATAAGACTTTTCATAAAGAAAATAAATCCTTCTTTATTCAGAATATAAACTTTGATAGGGAAAGGGACAGCTAGCATTGCTAAATGCTTTGCACATGCAAAGGGCTATTTGGACTTCTAGAGACTGACAAATGAAGACAAGGATTCTTTTTAAGGAAACTGCACTTTTTACCTTAACTGCACAAGATTCTAAATGCCAGCTGACACATTAATTGAGCATCTTTTATGGGCTGCCACTTTCATATGCATTATTTTACTTAATTCTTACAACCTAAAAAATATCAAGAAGCAGAGAAGTGAAGTGACTTGTTTGTGGTAATCTTGGAAATGATACTATTGGTATTCAAGTTCAGATCTTTCTTCCAAGTCGGGAATCCAGGTAATTGCAGGTATCTTGCAGTGTGAACAGTAGGTAGAAAATATTAGTGGCCTAATCCTAAGTACCAGCCTCACACTAGCTCTGTTCTTTTCTCTCGATATTTTAGCAATTTTAAGAAACCGTGATCCTCAGGCACGTAACCATGCATAATCACACATTCCTGAAACTAGCTCAGTATGAATTTGCCTGCAATAAGTACTAGAAACTTT